CACAGCTTACCAATATGGAAGCTACGTTATGCAGGATATCTATGACGGGACATCAGTCTTTAGTCATAGCCTCCTGTTACATTCCCCCTAAAAACCTCCCCCTCAAAGATGATTTTGAGGCAATCTTATCTCAAAGTAATTCAGTCATTATGTTTGGAGATTTCAACTCTAAACATACTGAATGGACATGCCGTACGATTAATACTAATGGTAGGATACTGCGTGATATAACGCAGTCTCTTGACTTAACCGTTTTCAGCCCGCTCGGTGCAACGCACTATCCCGATAATACCGATTATAATCCAGATGTACTAGATTTTGCGTTACTCAAAGGAGTTTCACTCAACCTCAGGTCTATTGAGACACTAGACGATATAGGATCCGATCACCGACCGGTCTCTCTTATTCTTGGCCATCAGCCACCCCCTATTATAACTACGAAAACCTTCACTAACTGGAAGGGTTTCAAGGACTCACTAGCAAAAGCTATGGACTCGCAGGACTCCCCTAATTACCTATCGTCGGACTTAGACTTAGACAGTCCTGTAAAAATCGACACCGCGGTCGAATCACTTTCAACCCTAATTAAATCCTCCCTTAAGGAGAATGAAAGGGTCGTTCCGGTTGCTAATACTAATGGGCTTCCCCTATATATTAGCAACATATTAAAAGCTAAAAAAGCTGCTTTCCGGAGAGCAGCTAAATATCCCACCCCCGAATATAGGCATACGGCTAATCGTCTTCAACGAAAACTCCGTTCGCACCTTTATGAATTTCGAGAGCTCCAAAGGAGTGAACTCATGGAGAATATATCTCCCTCACATACAGCGTACTATCAGATGGCTAGAGCCCTCCGTATAGACGCTACAACTCACACTCCCCCTCTCTCCCGCCCCGACGGTACGGTTGCCTTCGAGGACGACGAGAAGGCTGAGTGCTTTGCAGACAGCATTGCCGCACAATGCTCTCCTAGCTCTCAACCTGTCGACCCCTCACATATTCAGGAAGTGGAGGATGAGGTCCGCCGCCGGAACTCACCCCCCACAACCTCTGACCCTATCACTGTGTCCAATGATGAGATCTCGTCCCTCATCAAAGGACTTAAGCCCAAAAAATCTCCGGGCGCGGATGGCATATCCAACCAAGCCCTTAAATACTTTCCAGAGCAGGTGTTAACCCTCTTAGCTATTATCTTTAACGCCTGTTTTAATCTTAGTTACTTTCCCACTTCTTGGAAAGAGGCAATTGTCATTGGTATTCCCAAGCCAGGCAAGCCTCTTAACCTCCCCTCCAGTCATCGTCCCATTAGCCTCCTAAAGGCCATGGGCAAACTCTTTGAAAGAGTCATTCAAAATCGAATGAGGCGCCATCTGTTTCCCACAGACGGTGACCCCATTGTCATCCCACACCAATTTGGTTTCCGCGCAAAACACTCGTGTCCACAACAGGTACACCGCATTGTGGAATATATCCTCAGCGGTTTTTATCCACGTCGACTAAAGACAATCGCGGTCTTTTTCGACATTGCCAAAGCCTTCGACCGAGTCTGGCATGAAGGCCTTATTTTCAAATTATATAGGATAGGACTCTCCGATCGTCTAGTACGTCTCGTAGCCTCTTATTTACAACATCGTACCTTTCGTTTTAGACACGAAGGCACGTTATCCTCTCAGCGCCCCATTAAAGCTGGTGTTCCTCAAGGATCAGTACTAGCTCCCCTCCTGTACATCTTGTACACCAACGACATTCCTATCCCGTCGAATGGTGTACAGCTCTCACTCTTCGCAGATGACACTGCACTATACTTCAAAAGTCCTAGAATATCTTCAGCAAGGAACAAGATCCAAAAGTCAGTCGATGACCTAGGAGACTGGTTCCAAAAATGGCGTATCGATGTGAACCCGGAGAAGAGCTCCGCAGTTCAATTCGATATTAAAAGACGCCGTAATAAAAACAAGAAAAATACTCCACCTATACGAATGCTAGGGACCCCTGTCCCATGGCACATGTCAGCAAAATATTTAGGCGTCACCCTTGACTATAGGCTTACTTTTGAGTCTCATGTCAAAAGAGTAACGCGTTTAGCACGTTTCTATTTAGGTCGGCTTAACAGTATGTTAGGCAGACATAGCAAAATGTCATTACGAAATAAGCGAACCCTCTATAAGGTTTGTATACGACCGGTTATGACTTACTCGGCTCCTATTTTTGCACACGCTAACGATAAAATTATTAACGAACTCCAAGTAGTTCAAAACCTCTTCTGTCGTCGAGCTACGAACGCACCTTGGTACGTCCGTAATGCCGACCTTCACCGGGATTTAGAAATCCCAACAATCCAGCAATGTCTTAAAAAATTCTCTGAAAACTTCTTTAAAGTATCAGAGTCGCATACTAACACACTTATTCGTGAGGCAGTTACTTATACCGCCCCACTCCCTTCTCGCTATAGCGTCCGCAGGCCGAGAAACACTCTCTCGGACCCGCCAAATAAGTTGTCAAACGACCTGAACTGCCTCCTGGCGGCTCAGGCCAATCCTAATTAAATTAAAAATTAGTTAAAATTAATAATATGCCTTCGTAGGCAGTCCCTAAACGGCACTTAGCCGTCTGCGCCCTCTTTTCCCAAAAGAGGGTCGCTTTAGATACGGCATATGCAGCTTTAATAGAGCTAGTTGCCAGTCCCCAAAGGCGGTTTTTAGTGGGTATCACTTAGGTCCCCCGGTAGGCAGTGAGTCCCACATAACCAGGACAGACCGGCTGTCGTGGTATGCATAATGCATTTTCCGCCTCCCTCAGTGGTAGCCCTTTTCCAATTGCTTCGGGCGCAAAAAAAAAAAAAAAAAAAAAAAAAAAAATGAAATATGGGTCAGTCGTAATTTAGACTTTGCAGTGAACACACGTGAACAAGTAACCCAAGTAAGAACAAGTTAAAGATGGACACCAGCTCTGAAGAAGCCGCTCAAGTGATTGCCCTATTGCAGTCGGGGATGCGGCAGTGTGACGTTGCTCGACAGTTGAACCTGTCCCGTTTTTCAGTTCAACGGGTGTTCCAACGTTTTCAGCAGACTGCTGGTTATGTTAGAAAACTGGGATCTGGAAGAAAACGGTGCACATCAGAAAGAGATGACCGTTTCATCGTTACGACATCTTTACGAAACCGTTTTACAAATGCTGTTGAGTTGCAACAACAGCTTCGATCAACTCGGAGAACATCTGTGAGTGTTTCTACGATTAGAAGAAGGTTACACAAAAAGAGTTTAACAGCCCATAGACCTGCTAAAGGTCCAAAACTTACAGCACAGCATCGCAGAGATCGCCTAGAGTTTGCTCGCAATCATTGCGAGTGGACTCTAGAACAGTGGCGGACCGTACTCTTCTCTGATGAGACGAGGGTCTGTCTTTTCTGCAATGACAGACGTAGAAGGGTCTACAGAAGACAGGGGGAGAGGTTCACACAACCCTGCTTCGAAGAATCCGTCGAATACGGGGGTGGCTCGTATGTTTTGGGGCGGCATTTCCTTCGACGGGAAAACGGAACTTGTGTGCGTTTCCCGGACTTGGGGTGGCCGTGGGCAAGGGTCATTAAATGCTGGTCGGTACATTACTGAAATCCTGGAGGTACATGTGGTCCCGTATGCTGGTTATGTCCATGATGGATTCATGTTAATGCATGATAATGCTCGTTGCCACACCGCGGCTATTGTACGGGATTATTTACAGGAGGTCGATATCCCTGTTATGCATTGGCCAGTACGAAGTCCAGACCTTAACCCAATAGAACATCTCTGGGATGACCTAAAACGGCGCGTGCGAGCTCGAGATCCAGCTCCAACCACTCTTCAAGAGCTCCAAGATGCGGTACTTGAAGAGTGGGAACAAATACCCCAAGAGGCTGTTGCGACCCTTGTAAGGTCCATGAAAGATCGCATGGAAGCCGTTATCAAGGCAAGGGGGGGGGGGGGGTAACACTAGGTTTTAAGAACTTTTTTTGTATTTATTAAGTTTTTTTTAAATTATTAATTTGCAAATTTGTACATACCCTGTCTTTTTCTTTAATTTCTCTTTCGTCTCGTTATAAAAGTAAAATTCAATTAAAATTCCTGAAAGCTAATGAAATCACCTTTCGAATGATACCCTCAAACCACAACATTGCCATTGGCTTCTTGTGTTAAAATAGTATTTAAATAATTATTTTCCGACGTGCGATTTTTTTGACGCCGAGTGTAGTTTATAATTATTTCATATTGCACCGTGTAGCGGCGGTGTTAGAATACTACTATACTACCCCATATCGTCCCGTGGGTAAGAAGCGATAGAGGAAAACAATGAGAGGTGGGCAGAAACGTAATCCTAGTAACACCCAAAAATAAAAAACTGCGCTTGCCAACCCATCTGCCAAACGTGGCAACTTTGGTAAATATCCACAATTTAAGGCAATCAATGGGGGAGGCCTATAGCAGTGAACTTTAGTAGGCTGTAATATTTGTTAATAACTATGTTATATCATTTCCCAACCCAAATAAAAACGTAAGCGTAAATGACCAGTGCAGCGCTTGGACACTTTCAACAAATATTAATAAAGGCCATAGATGTCACCCCTGAGAACAAAGATTTAACCTCATGGAATGTAATTTTACTTGGATCTCTCAGTCTTCAAACTGAAACAACAGTGATAGCAATGCCGCGTGGCATCATATTGATTTGTACTTTTTTATAAGGACAGACAGCCGAACTAGCCAGTATTTATATACTTATTTTATAAAATAAACACACATTATCAATTAGTAATCAGATACGATCAATCAACAATTAATTTACAAAAGTAATGGAAGTACTGATAATTTTAACGCAAAGCTAATTGGTGGATTAATAAATACCTATCTTATCGCTATACTCTAATCTAACACTTAATAATAAGAAAAAATGTCATAATTTCATCACTGCTGGCAAAAGCGTATCGCTGAGTGTGTTTCGTTTAAGTGTTAAGAATATTAGAAATGGCGGATAAAGTAAAAAAGAAGCCGCCAATTTTTGCACTGAAACGTTGGAGTAGTAAGGACGAAACGAAAGTTCCAAAATCTCCAACGACACCTCAAATACAAAATCAGAATCCGTCGTTAATGTTCAAATCAATTGTTTCATCGCCAGCGCCGCGTTCAGCGAATGCGTCTGTTTCGGAAGCAAAGCCTAGAAAGTGAGTTACATTATACCAAATATATCGTTTTTACATAATTACCATTTTGGTAATATAATATCATTCATTATCATTTCATCACAGTCATAAATATTCCACCACACAACACCACAGAGTTCGCTGTAATTATAGTCTACTACTTTTGAGGTTGTTATGAATTAGAGCTGAATTATTAAAAGTAGTTCATCATCAATATTATCACAAACCTTCACAAATCCACCATTGAATATAGGCCTCACCTAGGAATGCAACAAAGCACGGTCCTGAGCCGCCTGCGTCCATCGAGTTCCTCTGTGTTGTATCTCTTACAAGGTCGTCCTGTACTTCGCTTACCGATATGAGTCTGCAACTCGAAAAACTTTTTTCCCCATCGGCTGTCGGTTCTTTAAGCTACAAAATAATATACCTATAAACTGCCCCCACGATACAGGAGAAAATCCTAGTGTGGAGGTAACGTTTTTTAAAAAGAAAAAAGAGATATATAAAATTATAATGATTTACTAGGTGATATGAATCAGGACTCCTTTCCTGCTAAGAGTAAAATAAGGTTCAAAGACAAAAGTTTTTAGTTTAAGCTTCTCTACAGCTACTACAAACGCCAAAATCTTCCATCGCACCGGTTCGAATAAAAGCGAGATTCTACAGAGTAGAACTAACAAGATACTTTCGGTGGTCATTGTTTTTCCTTCTTAAAATTTTTAATTGAATGGCATTGTAATTACTATCAACTTATAATATTTAATAGAAAGTACTGCCTTCTTACCATTTTCGTAGCAACGTTGCCATGGTGCATCCACTGTTGTGTTCCAACTTAAAAGGTAATGCTGTGTAACTACACTCAGTGAGGCATATGAAAATGCCTCACTCTGCTCAGGGGTGATAACGAATTTGTAGACATTTTTTTCTATGAAGCTGGTTGTAGTTACTTAGCTAGACTTAACTCGTTTGTTTGTCTTTTTTCCTTTATTAAGTGAATGAATGAATTTTAAGCCATGATTGTAATATTTATTTGTGTATTATTATTCATTACAGCCTATCAAATTCTACTGTTGAACATAGTCCTCCCCAAGTATTGCTAAACCTTCCTCAATATATTAAGGGGGATAGCTGCACAACTTGACGGGTTAGCGATCGCAGTTTTTTTCTTTTCTAGTTGTTATTAGAAAGGCGCTGCTGCCAATCTCCTGGTGTGTTTCCCTGTGTCGCCTCTTACGACACCTACGGTTATGAATATAATTATATATACTAACACCGCTACTACATGATCAATCACGGTGAAGGGGCATCAAATCGTAGTAGAAAAACTTCCTTGTCCAAAACAAAAAGTTAAGAAGTTGCATTATATTGTACTGTCACAAATAACAAACAAAAACTTTTTTCTCTTTTTTTATAGGATAAGGGTGACAAACGAGCATACAGTCCACCTGATGGTAAGTGGTTGCTGTGGCCCATAAACATCTACATCTATCTTCGATTAAGAATCAAAATGCAGATACGTTGTCACCCGTGAGGACTAAGATGGAATGCCTCGTTTCCAGTAAAAAGGGTCACCGGTTCTCTACACTCAACATACGAAACACAGCATTGTTATGCTGCTATTTTACGCTGGAATTCTATGAGAACGTGGTCCTTCCCCGGTCGAGCCGACCCATTCGTGTTACAACTATACTACTAATATAGCTGCAATATGGCTCTACCACGTATTTATTACTTTTAAATTGTTAGAACTTTAACGTTATGTTACTTTTTAATTATTGTTTTAACACGTGCTCGGTGGTAAAACATCGTGAGGAAACCTACATATCTGAGAAATTTCTTATTTTGGGGCGGACATTTCCTTTCCCTAAAACCATCTCAGAAATGGGAGGCCTGTGCCCAGCAGTGGGACGTATATAGGCTGTACTTTAACTTAATTTTAACTTGAAATTTTGAGAAAGAATATTTCTATTTCGCTAATGTTCAACACACGTCAGATGAAAGTTGCTAGGGTAGGAGCATTCATTTCAAAGGGGTTTCCAATGTCGAGCAATAAAGATTGGTGTCGATGATAAAACTCGACGCGATGTACTCGTACGTGCGTGGAAAAGTAATTCATACTTTTAGTGGAACTGTTTTAAGCTCATATTTTGCGCGGTTTTATCATTTTATCCTTTTACTGTTTTTATTTTATCCAAGATAGCTTGTTTTTGAAACACGTTTTTGCTAGTTTACTGTTATAATATATTATAATAAAACATTTAATAGTAAGTACAATATGATACGCAAAATGGAATAGGGCCTGAAATTCAGCAGTGGTGATATCAAATATTGAATTCAGTTCAACCTCATTTAATACTTTGATCCTTTTTTTAAAACATTTTAAATTATTGTTATTGAATGACATTTACGTGAGGAAAATTACATAAATATAATTTAAGACATTGCTGGCGTTACTAAGAAGAAGGTACCTATTGTTTCAAATTCTGCTTCTGTATCAATTGACAAAATATTTTAAATGTCTTAAATGGCCTTATTTATATATCAACACATATATACTAAAATCCCTAATAATCTAACCGCAGTATTTTTTTAACTATAATTTTATTTAGCATATTACGTTAAGTTTTATTTACTTTGAAATATCTCAAACACATAATATGACATAATAATACCACAATTCAAAAAAGTTAACCATCCAATGAGATCTATTCTTCGCTTCTTGTGGAATTATGGGTTTATTTTCTTTTATTACCAAGCACTTTTATTAACTTACTGTCTTCGTATATCTTTCTAGTTCAAAATTTTTAATAAATTTTTGAAGCACTTGCTGACATGCGATTGAGCCAAAATTTGGCATACTTATGTAACCTTAGATTAATGATAGGTCTTCGCGCGTCAGAGCGCGCGATGACCTATCATTAATTTATGTATGTAACATTAATGACAATGCAATAAGACGGTACCATGAAGCTGATCTGAATATGGACCCGGAGGCTTCCAGCATCGATCTTGTAAAAATAAAATCTTGTTATTAAATAACTAGCTGTACCCCGCGACTTCGCCCGCGCGTAACTTATTACGATTGGATTTCATAGGTTTCAATTTTTTGCGCGGAACCCTAATCCTTTTTCTAAAATAAAAGTAGCCTAAGTTACTTCTTATAACATTCTGCCAATGCCAACACAACTATCTGCCAATGAAAGTCCGGTCCGGAATAAACAGACAGACAGATAGACAGAAGGACAGACAGACAAAAATTTTAAAAATCGTGTTTTTGTTATAAGTACCGTATATACTTTCATATGGATATAGTAAAAAGCTGTTATTTCGACATTACAAGCAGACACTTCAATTTTATTTATTTGTATAGATTATGTTATTGTATTATTAATACATTTTGCCTTTCTATTTGTACTTTAGTTTTCATTCATATGCAGGTAGTATATATAACCTTCTTGGCAATTGTTATACCTACGCGTCGAATCTGGTGTGTTCCTTATTTAATGGAACATAGTAAAGTCATACCTTTATTTAAATCTGGTAGTACATTAGACCCCGCCAATTTTAGACCAATTTCTGTACTACCAACATTTAGTAAAATTTTTGAAAAAATTATTTTAGATTAGATGTTAAGTTTCTTTAATATTAATAAATTGCTACATAAAAATCAATTCGGTTTTACAAGGGGTTGCTCGACAACTGACGCTGGAGTTGAGCTTATTAAACATATTTTTTGTGCATGGAATTCAGAGGATGTTTGGGTATATTTTGTGATCTTTCCAAGGCCTTCGACTGTGTTCACCATGAGACATTAATCAGGAAGCTACAGTACTACGGTATCAAAAACACAACGCTGAAACTTATTATTTCATATTTAAGTAATAGAATGCAAAAAGTTATTATCAATGGTAAAAGTTCTTCCGGGTCACCTGTACTAATGGGTGTCCCTCAGGGCTCGATTCTCAGCTTATTCCTATTTCTAGTGTATATTAATGACTTACATTCCCTTGTAGGGGATAATAGTGATATAGTATTATTTGCTGATGATACTTCCTTGATTTTTAAACTTAAACGTCAATCATTTAAATGTGACAAAGTGAATAATGCTATATCATAATTAGTGCATTAGTTTAACGTTAATAATCTACATTTAAGCGGTAATAAAACTAAATGTATTAAATTTATAACACCGAATGTTAAAAACCTGAATACCAATGTGTTTTAAAATGGGGAAGAACTAAGCCCTGTTGAATCCACTGTTTTTCTTGGCATCACTCTCGACGCAAAGCTTCAGTGGGGCCCCCATATATCCAAACTAACAATCAGACTAAGTTCACCATCCAATTCTGTAAAAAAGATTAGGGGTCTCACTAGTGTCGAGACAGCTAGATTAGTTTATGTCGGTTATTTCCATAGCATAATGTCTTATGGGATTTTGCTATGGGGAAATGCGGCTGATTCAGAAACTATTTTGGTTTTACAGAAGAGGGCTATTAGAGCTATTTACAATCTAAAACCAAGAGAGTATCTTAGAGATAAATTTAAAGAAATAAATATATTAACTATGGCCTTTCAGTATATTTACGAAAATTTAATGTAGGTATGTTCACAAAAACAGTAGTTTTAGTAAAAAAAGAGATATACATTCTGTAAACACTAGAAACAAACACAAGCTAGCGATACCAGTTTCTCGACTCCACAGAGTCAGTAATTCATTCTTGGGGCAATGCTATTGCAAAGTCCCGGAAAGTGTACGGGCTCTCTCTATTACCAAGTGTAAATGTTTTGTTAAGCTGAAACTGTATAAAAAGGGCTATTATAATATAAATGAATACATGGCTGATAATAACCCTTGGGAATGAGGTGGTCGCTTCCAAGCAGTTTCTAAAATAAATTTTGTAAATAGTTTATACAACCATTAATGTAAAATTTACTTTAAAAAAAAGTCCCGCTGGGTTTTTGCTGGTTCTTCCCAGGACAGAGGGTATTTTTTCGAATCAGTGGTAACGTAAAAAATGACTTTCAATAAGAATTACACATGTGATCTATATTGAATAAAACATTGTTCTATTCTATTCTATTCTTAATAAAGCGATTTAACTTAAAAGACGCAATTTTGTTTCTTTAGATTTTATCAAATATTGCAATATCACGAAACATTACTGAATATCAAAGTTTCAACTTTCGAAGTATTTACGGGCATAATTTGATACATTTTTATTTTAACAATTTAAGTATCTCCGATAGCCTGAAATCTGTTCTATATAATATAAAATATCCCCTTTGTAATTTTTAGAGCAAGATCCCAGGGCCACCAGACGTCACTTATTTTCTGACGAACGAAATATGTAAGATTGTGTAGTGTTAGTATGTACTATGATCGCATGCCTACCTGCTAGCTTGGGCTGAGGTCCATTTTCCAGGTATTAGGTAATCAAGGTACGTGAAAACATTGCTGATCTTACGTTAATTGATGATTGACCCCTTGGGTCGGTCTGCGTTCTTGTAAAACGTTTTAACGTAGTTGTCTGGCTAACATATATAAAATTGGAGTTTCAGAATGTAGGTAAGCGAAATTGAGTAGTTTTTTTTTAGAGCTTTAAAGCTTCTGCAAAGCGATACTGCCGACGGAGTGTCTGAGCGTATTTATGATTGATTTTTAACGATATTATCAACCATATACGTCAAAATGAACTGGAAGAATTGTGGTGGCTTGAGGTGAGTTATGTTTTTATGTAACTTCATTACGTGATACCTGGAAAATGACCCTCTGGCCTAGCTAGCAGGTAGATTTGCGATCATAAGTGACTTCTGGTGGCCCTGGGATCTTGGACAATTTTTTAAGCCACGAAGAAGCGATTGTAACTTACTCTTTATATTTCAGTATATAGGTAGGTTGTAAATAAAAATGTTTTATCAATAAAAGCTAACGCCCCGCCAGGGAGCTCTTCAGTACCACTGCCCTTCCGTTTGGTCTCCGACATACACACGACATCTAATTCTCTTTCTTTCATTATTTCTATCAACTCATTCGTCTTATCTCTCATGCCTCTTCTAACATTGCACGTGCCAACTCTGCACTCTGTCCTCCACCTTCCGCCGTATCGGGCTGTGCGTCGCGGTGGCGGTCCCCATCGCCGCTTTGCGCGCTGCATTCCACACCAACGGGGACGAGCTGGTGTGCGTCGCCTTGGGGGGACGCCCTAACCCTCGTTGGCATGGGTGCGCAGCTGTGTAGAATTGCACTCCTGAAAAGGGCTGGCAGGGGTCGCGACGAGCACGTATATATATAGGCGTAGTACGACGAGAAATAAGACAACCTTGTAGATCAAAAAAGTGAGTCCAGAAGAAAACAACCTCCCTCTCTCCTCCCCAAATCACGCACATCACATGACATAACTAGCCATTAAAATCCACATTTAAATAGGCCTTTTCATAGCATGATTTTCTGATCTATGGTGTAGTGGCGGTGAGTGCCGTAGGAGGCGACAAAGGGTATGAACGACTTTAACTGCCATGCTTTAGCTATATTAGAAGTATAGTTGTAGTACCTATGGGTCGGCTCGACCGGGGAAGGACCACGCTCTCACAGAATACCAGCGTTAAATAGCAGCATAACACTGCTGTGTTTTGTATGGTGAGTGTAGAGAACCGGAGACCCTTTTTACTGGAAAAGAGGCATTCCATCTTAGTCCTCACGGGTGACAACGCATCTGCATTTTGATTCGCAAACGAGGATAGATGTAGATGTCTATGGGCCACAGCAACCACTTACCATCAGGTGGACTGTGTGCTCTTTTGTCACCCTATCCTATAAAAAAAAACTGCTTCTGAGGTGGAGCTTTTTTGATACACTACGAGTATGTCTTCGTGCCAACTTCGGGGGTTATTAAATTATATTTGAAACTAACTAATTTTAAGCGTCAGTAGCCTAATGGCAGGGCACGGACCGCGAACTCGAAAGGTCGTGGGTTCGAATCTGCCATTCGACTACTGTCGTGAACCACTTCTAACACAAGCATTTTAAGCTTACTAGAAGTGGTTAAAGGGAATATTAGTAATGTTTAATCGCACTAGTATTTTTTCAAAAAAGAAAAAAAAAAACAATTTTTTTTAGGTTTTTTAATAATTTTTTTTTTGCTTTTTTGGCTCGCAAATATGTTCAAGTTTTTTGAACATTATGGCCATCATGATTTAGTATATATTTTTACGCAATAATTATATTTAAAACAGGATATCTGCTGGTGGAATCAAAGAACTAGTACAATGTCCTCTATGCTTGGAAATCTTTCACAATCCCAAAATGTTACCATGTCAGCACACTTTCTGCCTTGCTTGCCTTAAAGTCTACGTCGATGGTAAGATTAAAGAAAGAGATGAAATACGATATCGATTGAGTTCCCAATTCTTTGTGTCATTTATTCTCACAATTATTACAGCTGAGCCTGTTATTGACTGTCCCAGTTGTCACACAAGAATACAAATACATGGACCAAATTATCTAGATGATTTGCCGTCGAACTTGTATATCGATACGCTTTTGCAAGTAGTGGGCATCAGCACTGCAAAGCCGAAAAAACCAGTGACGCCGCCTACAACACCAGCAACTGGCGTAAGTGGTATTCAAAACGTCGACCTGTTAGCTGGTGGATTAAGATGCTGCCATTGTCGTACCATGTGTGACAACAATGAAGTGATAACATGCGAACATTGCAAATTGGTAAGTGTGTATTATTTCCTAACATAAATTTTACCATTACTTTTACCCTCGTTGAGTTTATTTTGTTTGTTAATCATTCTTGTCCAGATCTTTATACATATACTTCACGAGTTACTGGACGATAAATAAGAAAAATTAAAAGCAACAATAAGCTAAAATTAAATCTCAGACTAATAGAGAATGATAGACAGAAGACTAAGTACATTTCAAGTGACGCCGAAAGAGTGCTCAACTTTTTGACACGCATTCATGCACACATCTTCTTAATTTATTTTATTACTAGCTGTTCCCCGCGACTTCTCACGCGTGTTATTTGGGGTTTTAATTTTTTTGCGCGGAACCCTAATTTTATTTCTAAAATAAAGTTAGCCTAAGTTACTCCTTGTGACATCAGCTATTTGCCAGTGAAAATCCCGTCAAAATCGGTCCAGCCGTTTCGGAGATAAGCCGGAACAAACAGACAGACAGACAGACAAAAACTTAAAAATTGTATATTTGTTATTGGTACCGTATATACTTTCATATGCATTTAGTAAAAAGATGTAATTTTGAGATTACAACCAAACACTTAAATTTTATTTATTTGTATAGATCAGCCAGTAAAAGTCCACAGCTGTGCGCACGTAAATGTACCTAAAACTATGTTGTTGTTTCTAATGATTTTAGATGCTTACTTGTACTTGAGTGTGTGTTCTTACAATAATTTTATCATGGTTTGGGCTTAGTGCTTACTTGAAATGTACGTATTATTCTGCCTATCTTTTTTTGGGTCTAAGAATATAAGGAAGTGTAATCGTTTGTTAAATTATTGTGATACATTTGAAATCCGGGACTCCCAAAATGTTTTATAAGGTTTATCTTTATGATTGTATATATCAATCATAACGTATAACTCGTTATGTTATCAGTTAATTGATAATCTATTTTATCACTAACAGATATAAGATACAGTTAACATTAAAGAACATAATATATAAAATTGAATTATGGAGGTCGTTGCTGATAGTTGGACATGTTTTTAGAAATTTTGCGGTGTATGCTGGTCACAACATTTGGAAGACATGCGCATACAAATTGGATCCATCTTAAAACAACTTGACTCCGCCGCCAACCGGCTTGAGCATAAAATTGAATATTGTAAGGTATGTATACGTATGTAATTACAGGCTCAGAGGCAATTCACCTTAGTGCTCATGGTGAAAACGTCGCATTTATAATCTGTTTGTTTACAGTTGACTAAAGGTTAACCATGCTACTATTTACAATCAGGTGCACGTGTGGTGTTGTATAATCTATGTTATTGAAAAACGTAAAGACAAAATTTATTTAAACAACAAAATCTCCTGCGACGTAGTCATTACTTTTTGATTAAGAATCAAATACATATTTCCTTTATCAGCCTGTGATTGCCCACTGCTGCCAACTCTGATTGCCGACTCCTCCCAATGTAGGAATGATCTGCCTTAAATGCCTTACATAGCAGGCGGATTGGCAGTCGCCATACGAAATGTCTGGCACCCTTAACAATACTTTACGGGATGGCCGTCTATCGGAGGCCACGCATAAATAATATTTCACTAAGTAATTTGTTAGCCGTCTAGTGGCGGTGTAAGAATATCCACTACCCCATATCGTCCCGTGAATGTAGTAAGAGGCGACAGAGGGAAAATGAAACAGGAGATGGGCAGCAGCATCTTCCTGATAACAACTCCAAATAATAAAAAACTGCGGTTGCCAAGCCGCTCGCCTGCTGCAGCCACTGCTGAATATAGGGGAGGCCTATGTTCAGCAGTGGACTTTTATAGTCTGTAATAGATGAATGGGTGGAAGTAATTTGTTGAAACGGGTAATTAGTAAGTTTTTCTCAAGTGTCTTCGAAATTTAAGAGATAAGACATAATTCATGTGACCAGGCTTATTGTAGTTACTATGGCCTGCCACATACATACGGAATTCCGTTTATAGATTCCGTTACGAAATTCCGAACGGGTCGGCCACACACATACGGAATCCCGTTTTGCCTGCAAAATTTCGAAGGGAAAACAACCGTACGTGTGTGACGGGATATATTTTATATGGACTTGCAGCGTTCGGAATTCCGAATCGGAATATCGAAACGGCATCGCGAAACAGAATTCCGTATGTATGTGGCCGGCCCTAAACTGGCATTCAGAAAGCAGTTTCTTAGTTAAAATCGCTTAATGAGAAAAGTAATGATTTTAGGATCGTTGTGAACGCATAACAGAACAAATAAACATGGTTGCTGAAGAGAAAATTAATGCAATTCTTGAGGCCAAGGTCAATCTCCTACGAGAAATGTCTGAGCTGCAGAAAACAGGGGAAATGTCCGCACTCACACTTCAATCATCGTTGCGAGAAGCTCGAGAAGTAGCTACTCGAGCAATGACTTCGAAAGAAGCTCTCGATGATAATGAGAAGGTTAGTTGCATGCCGAATTTTAACCTAAATGACAACACTTACGTTAGAAACGAATTGAAGATATCATTATGATTTTTTATAACTCACCATTCTTATTCAGATTTTAGCTGTCGCTTTGTCTTCTGATGTCCCTTTAAACGGCGAAAAAGTTAAGAAATTAGTGGCATTTAATTAGTTTAATGACTTTAATCTAATGAACAATTTTACGCATAGATTACTGCCAGCGTCTGCTGTCTTTCCATCCGATTACAATGTGGAGTGTCTTCAAGGCGAGACTGCACAATATGCTTTTACTAAACTAAGCACTTACCATTAGGTGGGATAGTAGTCAAGCAATATATTATTATAGTAGTTAAAAATAATCATAATTTAGTAATTATTTAATTTAACTAAACCAAAATACTTTCACATCACGCGTAGTTTTGAGGTTTTTTGATAAAACTAATTTTTTGCAACTAATTTTTGTAAACACGTCACGAAATGCCACTATTTTCGTAATGTAAAAGAGTGTAAGTATATAATCTTTGATGTCCAGAAAGTGCTTGAAAATGGCAAACAAACTTTAGCCAGTTAGAAAATATCAGCGAAACAAGTGCCTCTGGATTGCTAAACATCCGCAATATAAAAATAGAGTTGCCGAAGAAGTGTATAGAATGCCTCATGGCATTAAGTCCGCCCTTTGTATTCATTTGTAATAGGGAATAAATATGTACGATAGCTTTTTAGTTATGGGTGGTTCGAAAGTGCCATGAAATGGTTTGTGTAAATATATACACGTGCCGATGCGTTGACATTTACTTTTCCGAACTTGGATGGCACACTACTGGTATCTAGAAAAGTAGCCTAAATAGGTGGACTTGAACGAGGAAGGACAACTTTCTGCGGAAAAAACGACAATGTATTCGGTAACCTTAGGCGTTGATACGCATTTGCATTTGATTGGTAATCTAGGAAAATTATAGATCTCTATGATCCACTTACCATCTGGTGGACTGTGTGCCCGTTTGTCACCTCACCAATGTTTCATTGCATAATTTAATTCTCGAATGAGTAGAAAGTCTAATCGGTAGTGTTAACGGCTTTGACGGTGATATTATAATAACTTCTGACGATCGCCCCCATCATAGAATACTATGATATAGTATTCTATGCTGTTACTCTTTCTATGGGGGCATAGAATACTATATTATGGTATTCTATGGCCCCCATAAAAAGAGTATGATGAAAATCGTATTATGAATTTTTCAGGTAATGACGTTTTTAAACATACATCAAAACGCATTACAATTACTTACTGACGTATCTAAATGGGACTCGAACAGCTATGTGTTCGATAAGGAAAACTTCTGCATAGAATTGGAAACGGCGACGCCTTTAGACGCGGAGTCCGATGACCCGTTGCCAGAAGCTGCTAAGCAAAATAATCCATTAGAGAGCGAGGAAAGTCTAGTACTGTATTACAGGTAAACTCAAAAATCAAGACTTTAAGCCATTTTGTATAGATTCCAAATATTTTATCCCATCGTAAGTAATAGACACCGTAACTCGTACATATAATAAAGAGTAAACAAATAATAATAAAAGAACATATGTACCATCTCATAATATGACATCACATTAACTGCGTTTTTAAGTCTTACTGTTGGACATACTAGGCTTTCTTTTCTAAAAATATAATTAATATATTTACTTGGAGGATATGCATATGCTCTCCTCGTTAGACTGATGAGTTAGTGAGTGAAAAGCCTTCAATTGGTAATGCTCTACTGCACATCAAACAAACAAATTTCTTACCACGCCCCTCCTACAGACGTAGCATCACAGAGTAGATTATACAAATAAACTAGCATGTAGCATAGAGAAGTTTAATGTAAGTAATGAAAAAATGTAATGAAGAACGTAAAGTAAAAATATTATAGTTATAGATTTTATGTAAACTTTGCATAGCGATTGTGTTAAACTATATTGATGTTGGGGTAGTGGATATTCTTACACCGCCACTACACGGTTATTACCCGTGGGTGCCGTAAGAGGCGACAGAGGGAAACTGACACACGAGATGGGCAGCAGCATCTTCCTGGTAACAACATAAAATAATAAATCTGCGGTTGCCAACCCGCCTACCAAGTGTAGCAGCAACAATAGCAAAGATCTCCCCTATGAGGCAATCTATGGGGGACGCCTATGTTCAGCAGTGGATTTTTTAGGCTGTAATGGATTATTGATATTATGACCAGCGATTGCCATCGAGTTTCCTAAGTGGCTCCGACAGAGTATCAGTGCTGTGGTAGTATGGAGTCAGCGCTAGAACTTCTTATTAGTTTGTTGCTGCGTCAGTAGCCTATTCGCTGCTGCAAACCAAAGTGAACTTTGTTTTTCTCTAAGGTTAATACTCTAGATATCACAGTTATTCTGTAATTGTAGCAACCCATCACTATGTTCTTCTTTTTGCAATCTGTGAAATTTGGATGCATCTTATGAGGTAAGAGGGAGTCAGCCAGAGACTTGGCTTTTAATCAGCAATGTGACTGCAACCAGGAGCAGCGTCAAACATGCGAAATGTTGGTTTATTCAACCGCTAATTAGACTGACATGGTCGTCATGGTAAGTGCTCCAAAATGTGGCCAGAGGCTCATGTCCCGCAGTGGATAGTTTACGTGTAATTTATGTGTATTAACAAAATTTAAAAAAAAAACATATATTGCAGGTCGCGCAACTTTACACCATACTACGTTTGGCGAAAGACGGCCAGGCCCTGCGGTATTGGTATCGGGCCTTGGAATGAACACCTGTACATCTGCGCGAAGGATAGCCATAGCATTTTAGTGGTGGAGCGATCCCAAGCAAAGATAGTCATGCGTCTCACCTGTGAGGAAATGTTGTGCCCAGTCCACATAGCGTTTTTGGAGAACCTAGGCGAGATTTACGTAACAGGTGATGATTTGCTATCTTAATTTACAATTTTTTTTTATACAAGTGCGGGAAAACGAGCATTCGGCTTACCTAATGGAAAGTGTTGACCGCCGCCGATGAACAACTGTAACACCAGGGGAATTGCAGGTGCTTTGTCAGCCTTTTAAAAAGGAGTAACCTTGTTTCTTGAATGTTCCTAAGTCGTATCGGTCCGGAAAAATCGCCGGTGGTAAACGATTTCACAAAGTGTTGGTGAAATTTGGCAGCTGGAATTAATCCCAACAATTCCTCTGAGGCACTCCCCGTGGTAAAGGCGATAGAAAATGCAAAGGGATGGACAATCTCTTCGCAACGCCAGTGAATCGAGCCGACCAGAAAGAACTAGGTCGTCGAGGATTCAAGCCCCTCTTTGCTGAATGCAGTCAAGTGGAAGGAATTGGTTGGCAGTGGGCATTAATGTGATGTAGTTCTGCTAGCCAGATCAAATCCTACTGGAGCCAACATTTGTGCTAAAACGCAAGTTGAGATTTCGTGTGTCTTTATTGTGATTATGCTCGTTCTCTAACGATTTTTCGCATGAAACATTGATTAAATTTATTAACAATAATAATAATGTTCTCCAGACCGTATTTCAGTCACGGCGGCCAGTCACAACGGAGTCTAGCCATCTGAGCGGGACGGGATTATAGTGCCCAAGTGTATGCAAGTGTTTAATACGTGGTAGAGCCATGCTGCAGCTATACTAATAGTATAGTTGTACCACGAACGGGTCGGCTCGACCGGGGAAGGACCACGCTCTCACAGAATACCAGCGTAAAATAGCAGCTTAAAACTGCTATGTTTGGTATGGTGAATGTAGCGAACCGGAAACCCTTTTTACTGGAAAAGAGGCATTCTATCTCAGTCCTTACGGGTGACAACGCATCTGCATTTTGATTCGCAAGCGAGGATAGACGTAGATGTCTATGGGCCACAGCAACCACTTACTATCAGGTGGACTGTGTGCTCGTTTGTCACCTTTATTCTCTAAAAAAACCGGCAAAGTGCGTGTCGGACTCGCGCACCGCGGGTTCCGAACAAATCTGTAGGTAAAAATATTTTTATTATATGATGTAACTAAAAATTTATACTTTTCGCAATTTTTCCTTTATCTGTGCTATAAAACGTTGCTTCGTACCAAATTTCAAGATTCTGAGTTCACGAGAAGTACCCTGTAGGTTTTGATTCCCTTGCGAATGCCGAAAATTGCAAATTGAAATTCTTTTGATTGCGTTGGCTTAGAATTTTGATATTTTCACTGCTCTAAGGGACTGTAGACTTGAGTATTTGATTATGAATTTCAGCTTAATACCTCCACGCGTTCCTGAGAAAAAGGGTCTTGACAGACAGACAGACAGACAGACGGACAACAAAGTGATCCTATAAGGGTTCCGTTTTTTCCTTTTGAGGTACGGAACCCTAAAAAGAATGCGCAAGCACAGGTGCATTTTCTATTCCTCAACACTAATAGTCCGATGGGACGGCAATCCGACATGACCAGAGAAAGATTAAGCGCAGGGGGTGAAACACCGCCAACTTCCTGACTCTGGGCTGCATCTGAGAAATTCTTGACAGCAAAACCCAATAAAAGATTTGGCCTGACCCGGGATTCGAACCCTACTGGACCCTACTTCTTGATCATGAGGAGAAGATTCGCATTTACGAACACTAGACCAACGAGGCAGTCATTACTTTATTATACACTACCTGTTCCCCACGACTTCGCCCGCTTGGAATTTATTACGGTTGGATTTCAAGGATTTTGATTTTTTTGCGCGGAACCCTGAAAAGTAGCCAAGTTACTCCTTATGATATCAGCTTTTGATTTTTTTACGCGGAACACTGAAAAGTAGCCGAAGCTACTCCTTATAATATCAGCTTTTCATTTTTTTGGGCGGAACCCTAAAAAGTAGCCTAAGTTACTCCTTATAATATCAGCTTTTCATTTTTTTCTGCGCGAAACCCTGAAAAGTAGCCTAAGTTACTCCTTATAACATCAGCTTTTCATTTTTTTTTTGCGCGAAACCCTGAAAAGTAGCCTAGGTTACTCATTATTACATCAGCTTTTCATTTTTTGCACGGAACCATGAGAAGTAGCCTAAGTTACTCCTTATAATATCAGCTTTTCATTTTTTTGCGCGAAACCCTGAAAAGTAGCCTAAGTTACTCCTTATTATATCAGCTTTTCATTTTTTTGCGCGGAACCCTGTAAAGTAGCCTAAGTTACTCCTTATAATATCAGCTTTTCATTTTTTTGCGCGAAACCCTGAAAAGTAGCCTAAGTTACTCCTTATTATATCAGCTTTTCATTTTTTTTTGCACGGAACCCTGAAAAGTAGTCTAAGTTACTCCTTATTATATCAGCTTTTCATTTTTTTCCGCGGAACCCTGTAAAGTAGCCTAAGTTACTCCTTATAATAGCAGCTTTTCATTTTTTTGCGCGAAACCCTGAAAAGTAGCCTAAGTTACTCCTTATTATATCAGCTTTTCTTTTTTTTGCGCGGAACCCTGAAAAGTAGCCTAAGTTACTCCTTATAATATCAGCTTTTGATTTTTTTTTGCGCGGATCCTTGAAAAGTAGCCTAAGTTACTCCTTATGATATCAGCTTTTGATTTTTTTACGCGGAACCCTGAAAAGTAGCCTAAGCTACTCCTTATAATATCAGCTTTTCATTTTTTGCACGGAACCATGAAAAGTAGCCTAAGTTACTCCTTATAATATCAGCTTTTCATTTTTTTGCGCGAAACCCTGAAAAGTAGCCTAAGTTACTCCTTATTATATCAGCTTTTCATTTTTTTGCACGGAACCCTGAAAAGTAGTCTAAGTTACTCCTTATTATATCAGCTTTTCATTTTTTTGCGCGGAACCCTGTAAAGTAGCCTAAGTTACTCCTTATAATATCAGCTTTTCATTTTTTTGCGCGAAACCCTGAAAAGTAGCCTAAGTTACTCCTTATTATATCAGCTTTTCTTTTTTTTGCGCGGAACCCTGAAAAGTAGCCTAAGTTACTCCTTATTATATCAGCTTTTCATTTTTTTGGGCGGAACCCTGAAAAGTAGCCTAAGTTACTCCTTATAATATCAGCTTTTCATTTTTTTTTTGCGCGAAACCCTGAAAAGTAGCCTAAGTTACTCCTTATAACATCAGCTTTTCATTTTTCTTTTGCGCGAAACCCTGAAAAGTAGCCTAGGTTACTCATTATTATATCAGCTTTTCATTTTTTGCACGGAACCATGAAAAGTAGCCTAAGTTACTCCTTATAATATCAGCTTATCATTTTTTTGCGCGAAACCCTGAAAAGTAGCCTAAGTTACTCCTTATTATATCAGCTTTTCTTTTTTTTGCGCGGAACCCTGAAAAGTAGCCTAAGTTACTCCTTATAATATCAGCTTTTGATTTTTTTTGCGCGGATCCCTGAAAAGTAGCCTAAGTTACTCCTTATGATATCAGCTTTTGATTTTTTTACGCGGAACCCTGAAAAGTAGCCTAAGCTACTCCTTATAATATCAGCTTTTCATTTTTTGCACGGAACCATGAAAAGTAGCCTAAGTTACTCCTTATAATATCAGCTTTTCATTTTTTTGCGCGAAACCCTGAAAAGTAGCCTAAGTTACTCCTTATTATATCAGCTTTTCATTTTTTTGCACGGAACCCTGAAAAGTAGTCTAAGTTACTCCTTATTATATCAGCTTTTCATTTTTTTGCGCGGAACCCTGTAAAGTAGCCTAAGTTACTCCTTATAATATCAGCTTTTCATTTTTTTGCGCGAAACCCTGAAAAGTAGCCTAAGTTACTCCTTATTATATCAGCTTTTCTTTTTTTTGCGCGGATCCCTGAAAAGTAGCCTAAGTTACTCCTTATGATATCAGCTTTTGATTTTTTTACGCGGAACCCTGAAAAGTAGCCTAAGCTACTCCTTATAATATCAGCTTTTCATTTTTTTGGGCGGAACCCTGAAAAGTAGCCTAAGTTACTCCTTATAATATCAGCTTTTCTTTTTTTTTTTGCGCGAAACCCTGAAAAGTAGCCTAAGTTACTCCTTATAACATCAGCTTTTCATTTTTTTTTTGCGCGAAACCCTGAAAAGTAGCCTAGGTTACTCATTATTATATCAGCTTTTCATTTTTTGCACGGAACCATGAAAAGTAGCCTAAGTTACTCCTTATAATATCAGCTTATCATTTTTTTGCGCGAAACCCTGAAAAGTAGCCTAAGTTACTCCTTATTATATCAGCTTTTCATTTTTTTTTGCACGGAACCCTGAAAAGTAGTCTAAGTTACTCCTTATTATATCAGCTTTTCATTTTTTTGCGCGGAACCCTGTAAAGTAGCCTAAGTTACTCCTTATAATATCAGCTTTTCATTTTTTTGCGCGAAACCCTGAAAAGTAGCCTAAGTTACTCCTTATTATATCAGCTTTTCTTTTTTTTGCGCGGAACCCTGAAAGGTAGCCTAAGTTACTCCTTATAATATCAGCTTTTCATTTTTTTTTGCGCGGATCCCTGAAAAGTAGCCTAAGTTACTCCTTATAATATCAGCTTTTCATTTTTTTGCGCGAAACCCTGAAAAGTAGCCTAAGTTACTCCTTATTATATCAGCTTTTAATTTTTTTTTGCACGGAACCCTGAAAAGTAGTCTAAGTTACTCCTTATTATATCAGCTTTTCATTTTTTTGCGCGGAACCCTGTATAGTAGCCTAAGTTACTCCTTATAATATCAGCTTTTCATTTTTTTGCGCGAAACCCTGAAAAGTAGCCTAAGTTACTCCTTATTATATCAGCTTTTCTTTTTTTTGCGCGGAACCCTGAAAGGTAGCCTAAGTTACTCCTTATAATATCAGCTTTTGATTTTTTTTTTGCGCGGATCCCTGAAAAGTAGCCTAAGTTACTCCTTATAATATCAGCTTTTCATTTTTTTGTGCGAAACCCTGAAAAGTAGCCTAAGTTACTCCTTATAATATCAGCTTTTCATTTTTTTGCGC